AATCTATTCCAGAAACACCTTCACAGACATATCCAGAAGTAATGGTCTACCAACTATTTGGGTATCTCTTAACCCAGTCAAATGGGCACCTAAACCTAGCCATCACAGCCACTGAGTCTGGGGACTGGTTTTTTTTAAACCAAATTTTGTAGCTAACCAATACAGGTATCTAATGATTTATCAGTGTATTATCATTCTCTTGCTGCATAACAGATTGTCCTCATCTCAGTGACTCAGAACAGCACATGTTTTCCATGGGTCAGGTGTCCAGCCCGGCTTAGCTAGACCCTTTGCTCAGGTCTCATAAGGCTGCAATCAAGGTAGGAGCTAGGCTGTGTTTCTATCTGAACATTTGAGTTGGGAAATAATCCACTTCTAAGCTGAATCAGGTTGTTGGCAGAACTCATTCCCTTATGGCTATATTGCCAAAGTCCTGTTGTTGTTATTGTTGTTGTTTGTTTGTTTTGTAAGCTGTAGACCAAGAACCAGTCTTAGACCCTAGAAGTTGCCCTCAAGTCCTTGCCATAGGCCTCCTCTGTAAAGCCACATCCACAACAAGGCAGCCTACTTTTTCAAAGCCAGAGAGAGAGACAGAGCATGCTCACCTCTGTTGAAGACTCTCTGCCAGTCAGGACCTCCTGATTAGGTCAAGATAATCTCTTGATTTATTCAAACTCAAATGATTAGGAGCTGTAATTACATCTGCAAAACCCTTTCATCTTTGCCACGAGATTCTATTGATTAGAAGAAAGTTACACTTTCCAACCATAGCCAAAAAACAGGGATTATATAATTTCATTGGGGGTCATCTTAGAATTCTGCCTACCACAATCTTGTATTTAATATGCTTAATTATATTAATATGTTAATGTAATATTTGCATGTTAAATCACTTTGCATTCCCAGAACAAATTATGTTTGGTTATAATTTATAATTCCTTTAAAGTCCTGCTAGTTTTCTTTCATAGGTAATTTCATTTGTACTTTTGTTCTCCTATTCAAATAAGAGATTGATCTGGAGTTTCTTTGCCATTCTGGTGGGTTTTATAGCAAAACGTGAAACTAACATTGTAAAACACACTTGGAAGTCCACTGTATCTATCAGTGTTCAGTCAGGGAAACAGACCACCTCAAATATCGTGAGAATAAGAATGACTTGTAGCTGCCTTCTTGTCTTTGGTTTCACAGGGGGTATGTTAGGGAGGTATTTTTGGTGTTGAAACTTTAGGATGTCATCTAGTGGTGGTGTTTAGGTGTGTAGGTCAGCTAGTAGGCTGTTGCTCGGTCATGTGGCTCCCCTATATTTCCTCATAGTTGCAGCCATGCTCCCTCTCAATGCTCTGAAAGTGTGGGCTCCTCTCCCACTTCCGTGCTGGCTGTAGATAGTGGCATGGTACTCCTGGGTTTCCCACTTCAACTCTGGGGTGATCTCAGGGTTTATGGTTCTTCCCCACCTTGGAGGCAGCAAAAGAAGGGACCTTAATAGTGGTTGTGACCAAGGGTCTTTGTGTGCTTCCTGAGGACTTCACCCCAGAGAGATACAGGTAAGCAGTTGCTCAGTGTAATCAGCCCAGATAATCATTAGAGAAATGCAAATCAAAACCATAATGAGATACCAGCTCACGCCAGTCAGAATGGCTATTACTAAAAAGCCAAAAAAGTAACAGATCCTGGTGAGGATGAGGAGAAAAAGAAAAGCTTATACACTGTCAGTGGAAGTGCAAATTAGTTCAACCATTGTGGAAAGCAGTGTGGTGATTCCTCAAAAAGCTAAAAACAGAACTGCCATTCGACCTGGCAATCCCATTACTGGGTATATAACCAAAGGAATAGAAATCATTCTACTACCAAGATACACATATGTGAATGTTCTTTCAGCACAATTCACAATAGCAAAGACAAGGAATCAACCTAAATGCCCATCAGTGATGAACTGCATAAAGAAAATGTGGTGCATATACATCATGTAATACTATGCAGCCATAAAAAGAATGAGATCACATCCTTTGCAGAAAAATGGATGGAGCTGGAAGCCATTATCCTTAGCAAACTAACACAGGAACTGGAAACCAAATACTGCATATTCTCACTTATAAGTGGGAGCTAAATGATGAAAATACATAAACAGATAGAGGGGAACAACACCCACTGGGTCCTACTTGAGGGTAGAGAGTGGGAGGAGGGAGAGGATCAGGAAAAATAGCTACTGGGTACTAGGCTTAATAGTGAGGGGAGGAAATAATCTGTACAACAAACCTCCATGACACAAGTTTACCTATATAACAAACCTGCACATGTACCCCAGAACCTAAAATAAAAGTTAAAAAAAAAATAAGAGTTTACATGGACAGGAAAAGATCTAGTAATGTAAAGGGTGAGAAGGAGTGGGGAAATTTGGAGGATCAGGGAAAGCTTTGTTGACCTCCTGAGCCTGGCTGCCTGGCTGGATGAGCCTGAGCTTGTGGGGAAATCTGAAAAGCACACACACCCAGTCACTGAAGTGGGACCCTGCAGGAGGAGCCCATTGCAGTGGACCTGCAGTGGAAACTGTTCCCTCTGTAGGAACCACTGCCTCTGCAGACCTACAGCCGAGCACCTGGGGGCGGTCTTGGGGGTGCTATGGGAAGATGAGCTGGTCATAGAGCAAGAGTAAGGTGAGGCCATGCTGGGGCCCAACAGTCAGCTCAGCATCTATCTGTCAGCGTGTCTGCCCACCGCAACCTCTGATAACGACCTCTGTCTCCTTCCCACCCTGGGAAGCTCGCATGAATTCCTCCGTGGTCATTCTGGGAAATATCATTTGGGGCCTTAGACAAGAGCTGGAGTACCAAGTTGACAAGGCACAAGTCAGGCCTGCCTGTCATGTTCTTATGTCTGAAATGATCCAGGCAGCATGGGAAGATACATTCCTTGAAAGACGGAAAGGGCTTGCCTATAAAGTTTTGGATGCTGGACAGGATCACAAGAAGCAAGAAGTGGGAAACATATAGGAGGCAGCTCACAGGGAAAGAAGGGAGAGGGAGGATTCCAGGCAATCAGAGCTCTCCACCTGCGCCAGGGAGAGCTGATTGGAACTGAAACCCAGAGTGATCCCCACAGGATGGAATTACTCCTTAGAGCAAAGGACAAGTAGGTCCATATTCAGAGAGTGCACGGAACAGGAAAAGCTGCTTTCCTTCCCCATTTTTACAGTATTAGGCTTTCCTTGCCAACTATTAAGCTTTTCCTTTTTGCTCAGTTTGAGGTTTTGACTAAAGACAAAGAAAATTGTCTTTAATAGAAAAGTTGATTGGGAGACCACAACAGTAGGATAGCTTGAGGCCAGGACTTCAAGATCAGCCAGGGAAACATAGCAAGACCCTTCTCTAAAAAAGAATAAAATAAAAGAGCCAGGTATGGTGGTATGTGCCTGTGATCTCAGCTACTCAGGAAACTGTGGCAGGAGGATTGCTTGAGGCCAGGAGGTCAAGGCTGCAAGTGAGCTGTGATTGTGCTATTGAACTCCAGCCTAGGCAACAGAGTGAGACCATGTCTCTAAAAAAAAAGGAAAGGAAAGGAAAGGAAAAGAAAAGAAAGGAAAGGAAAAGAAAAGAAAAGAAAAGAAAAGGAGAGAAAAGAAAAAACAAAAGATGACCTCATGGACTTTAATTGCCATTTTGCTTTTGTTTCAGTTTATTAATATGTCACTCTTTCACTGAGTTCTTTGTATCATGTTTTATGCCCTTTGAATTATATTTTCTTCAAATGTTTTTGCTTTAATTATTTTAATTTACACAATAGACAGTAATTCTAGTAGTAGTTTCTTTTAAACTTAGAGAAACAAAGGTTTAAGTGGTATTAACTACTTCAAAAAATAGCTTTTGCTTCATAGTTATTTTAAATCCTCTGTCTGATAATACCAACATTGCCATTTCTGAGTCTATTTCTAACACTTGTTTTATCTCTTCAGACTGTGCTTTATCTTTCTTTTTAGTGCAACTTGTGATGTTTCGTTGAAAGTCAGACTTGTATGGGGCAATAGGAACTGTGGTATATCAGCCTTTAATGTGGGGATTTATGTTAATCTGAGTAGGAGTTGCGCTGTGTTTAATGTTTGTTGCAGCTGTAGGTACCAGAAACTTCCAGTTCCTCTAGTGTGCTTGTTTTGATCTCACTTTTTGACTTTGGGCCTCCCTATGGACTCCACCTCAGAGAGTCTGCAACATGCAACGTTTTCCATTGTTATCCAATGTTACCATACTGTGTGGTGATAACATGTTGGGGCGGGGGACCATTCTATAATCTAATTAAATCTCAATATTTTGGTGGCCTTGCTTCTCGGGGTTGTGACCTTTGCAAGTGTTGCTCCACTTCTAGAATGAAAAAACAATGGTACAGTTTACCCCTCCACCCCCTACTCCCTTTCCTGGCTTCAGTATTCCCAAAACATTTCCTTGAAACCCAGATCCCAGATCCTGGCTGACAATGTTCCAACCTCTACCCTTTTTTAGGTACTATAGGAAGACTGGAGGGGCCTTAAGTGGCAGACCCTTTCTCAGCCTGGGATCAAGTTTCAGAATGGTGCTCTGGGTACATCCTTTTCCCTGGAGAGAAACTCTTTGAACTGGAGAAGGCTCTGGGTGTATGTCATAATGATTCATCTTGGTCAGAGTGATGAGGAAATCTCTCTTTAGCCTCGCCATGAGAACTTGTTGGGGTTTCCGGAAACTCACGGAGCTGTGGGCTTCGTCCTAAGAATTCAGCCCCTGGAGTTGCTCATTCTCACACAAGTTCACTTTCAAACTCCAGCAAATCACCAAAGCAGACACCTAAATGATCCTGCCAGTTTATGCCTCCTGTGGTTTCAGCTCCACGCAAGCAGATTTTTGTTACCATATCTGTCCAGATGCCCCTATCTTTCCAGGTCTCAGTGTGGCTTTGCCCTGCCACCTCATCAATGGGTCAAAGAAAAATTGTTTCTTTTCAGTTTGTCCAGCTTTCTGTTCTTTTTGGGACAAAAACGTTGACTTCCAAGCTCTTTTCTTGTTGGAGCTGAAACTGGAAGGCCTCATTACCCTTTAAGGTAGACACAAAAACGAGTCTTATATAGATTATTTTGTCTAATAAAATGCAGACTCCAACTGACCATTGAACATGTAGTAATCGGTATCTCTGGGTTCCCTGTGTCAATGTCAAGTACATCTTTGTAGGTGTGTTATTTTTTAGAATGGAAGGAGATGCCAATCAGGGCCTAGGGGGGAAGCACTGAAAGCTTTGGAATAGGCCATGGTTATTACGTATGAATTCTGGGCACCTTCTCCTTTGTCTACTCTTATGCATCATCAAGCGAAACTTCATGGCTTCCTTAAAAAAAAAAGAGAAAGCAGTTATTAGCGGGGTCTAATGGCTTTCCTGAAGTCACAGAACAAAGACACTAATCTAGTTCACGCATCCCACGCTCCTGGGAAAGACCCAGCAAGATAAAGAGACTCATGCAAAGGGAAATGTCAGAATTTTAAAATACGCAACAAATCATTGAAAACAATAGTTACTTTTCAGAAACAATTATGAAAAACATAAACATAGAAATAAACCAAAATAAGAACTGAGATGCAAAATTGCACAATGGCCTGTTGAGTTAGGAAGTGAAGGGCAGGGGGAGCCCATGATTTCAGACCAGCCTATGTGTAGCATGCCTTGGCATTCAGGACAGGCTTCCCCAAGACAAGCTAGGTGTTTGCCTAACATGGCAAGACGGGAGAGAGCATAAGGAGGAAGGAAGTAACTTTGATTAAACATCTGCTGTCCCACATTTCTCTCACTCATCTGTTTGCTCATTTGAATGAATTATTAAGGTCATGCTACACGCCATGTACTGTTCTTGGTGCTGCTGATAGACAAATCAGTGTGACCTGGTGCATTCTCTTGTGAAGCTCGTCATTCAGTGTGGAAGACAGACAGGTGTCCAGGTAACTATGTTCCAGGGTGATACATGCTAAAGGAGAAGTCTGCAGATATTTTCTTAGAATGCCCTCAGAGGAATCTGAACCTGCCAGAGTTGGGGCAGGGGATGCCAGGCAGAGGATTCTAGGCATAGCATCCTATACCAGGCACACGAGATGCCAGGGACAAGAGTGAGCATGAGGACCGAGAGTGAAGAGTAAACCAGGCAAAGGAAGGGCGTGTGTGAAGGTCCAAGGTCCAGGGTGCAGGGGAGCATGACTTACTCAGGAATTGTTAGGTTCAGCATGGATACCACTTAGGCAGCTGCTGGCAGGTCAGGATAATGCCTTCATCCCTGGACAATGGGAGCCAGGAGAGGTTTCAGCAGGACAGTCTCATGGTCAGGTTGTTGCTTCAAGGAGACCATAGTGACAATTATATATGAAATGGATTGGGGTATATAAGACTGGTAGCACAGAGATCCGTTGACAACCTCAGGTAGAAGTGAAAGAGACTCAAAATAAGGAGTGGTGGTGGAGAAGGAGAGAAATTAAAGGGTTGAATGCATACTAAGAAGGTAAAATGGCAGCCCTTAATGGCCACTTTGATTGAGGACATGAAGGGAAGGAGCTTAACTGCATGACCCAGGTCTAGATTGTAAGGAATGGAGCGATGGATGGTTCTAGGTATGAGGAGCAAGGAAGTTTTGAGGGGATACAGAAGATGATGACTACAGTTTTGGGTGTGTTAATGAGGCTTCCAGTTGGACGTATCCACATTTGGAATTGAGGAGAGACCTAAACTTGGAAATTGTCATAACCTAGATGAAGGGATTTGAAGCAGGCCCTGTCACCGCCCCACAATACTCCCTGGCTCACCCAGAAGTTGCTTACATGTGGTTGCCATTCAGACCTGTGGTTTTCTGTGTCTCTCTGCCTGAGACATTCTCTGGTTTTGTCACTGCCTGGCACCTGCACAGAAGAGACAACGTTATGGGAGGTGACCCCTCAGGAACAACCCTCAGTTTTTGAGGGAGGGACTCTGTTAGATAAATACCCATTTCCTGGCCCCTTGGGGAGCCCACCTGTGTGCATTCCACGCCATTGTTCCTCAAAGTTGAGCCCAACCTTTTCCCCTGGAGAGATTGCTAAAACTCACATTCCTAGGCCTTCTCCAGAGACTCTGAGTTATTAGGCCGGGTTGGGAGGGAATAAGATTTGCGTTTCTATGCACATCAAAACCACAGTGAGCTATCGTCTCACCCTAGTGAGAATGGCTATTATTAAAAAGACAAAAAATAACAGATGCTGGTGAGAATGTAGAGAAAAGAGAGCTCTTAAACACTGTTGGTGGGAATGCAAGTTAGTACAGTCACTATGGAAAACAGTATGGAGATTTCCCAAAAAACTAAAAATAGAACTACCATTTGATTCAGCAATCCTACTACTGGGTATTTATCCAAAGGCAAAGAAATCTGTGTATCGGAGAGATACCTGCACTCACATGTTTAGCTTAGCACTATTCACAATAGCAAAGACATCAAATCAACCTCAGTGGCCATCAGTGGACCAATGGATAAAGAAAATGTGGTATACATACACAATAGAATACCTTTCAGGCAAAAAAATAAAAACAAAAGAATGAAATCTTGTTATTTGCAGCAACATGGATGGAACTGGAGGTCATTACATTAAGTGAAATAAGCCAGGTACAGAAAGATAAATACCACATGCTCTCACTCATATGTAAGAGGTAAAGAAATTTATCTCATAGAGAATAAAATGATGGATACCAGAGGCTGGAAGGGTGTGAGGGTGGGAGGAGGAAATGAAGAGATGTTGGTGAGTGGATGCTAACATACAGCTGGATAGAAGGAAAAAAGTGCTAATTATTGACACTAGGCTAGGGTGACAGTCCTTAGCAAAAATATATTGTTTATTTCAACATAGCCGGAGGAGAGGACTTGAAATGTTCCCAACACATAGATACCGAAGGTGATGGATACCCCAAATACCATGATTTGATCTTTACACATTACATGCATGTAACAAATGCTCACATGTTAAACATGTAAAATATTATGTAACAAGAAAAGGTTTTTTTGAAAAATTTGTATTTCTAACAATCTCTGTTTTGCAGTATCTCTCAGCACAAACCCAAGGGGTCATTCCCAGTTTGCAGGAGAAGTAACCCCTGTTTAACACTCACTTTATTGATTTTCTGTCTTCCCTGTCTCCCTTTCCTCTCATCCGGCTTCTTGGGATCACACTCGAAATGAACTACAGGCACCCAAATCTTCGTCTGAGGTCTGTTTTTGGTAAATCCTAAACATGATAGCCACTGAGGCCCCTGTCTTATGTATAATAAGGGGATACTTAGGGAAACTATCTCAGAATTGTCATCCAAATTGGGACACATGGGCATGCATGAGGGGCAGTCAGGGTAACACGGCAGCTTGAGGATTGTGCCTGATTTCTGTTCCCCTCTTAGAAATATTTCCATCACAGCACTATTCACAGTAGCAAAGATACGGAATCAACCTAAGTGTTCATCAGCAGACGAATGGATAAAGAAAAGGTGGTGGATATACACAATGGAGTAGTATGGGGCCATAAAAAAGAATGAAATCTTGTCATTTGTGGTAACATGATGGCATTGGAGATAGGATATTCACAGAGAGAAGGATGGAAATTTCAACAAACTTGGAAGCCTGGTTTACTGATTGATGGTTTAGCAGTGTCCCCCTCAAATCTCATCTTGAAATGTAGCTCCCTTAATTCCCATGTGTTGTGGGAGATACCTGGTGGGAGGTAATTGAATCATGGGGGTGGTTTTTTCCCATACCATTCTCATGATAGTGAATAAGTCTCATGAGATCTGATGGTTTTATAATGGGGAGTTCCCCTGCCCACACTCTCCTGCCTGCCACCATGTAAGATGTGCCTTTGCTCCTCCTTCACCTTCCACCATGATTGTGAGACCTCCCTAGCCATGTGGAATGGTGAGTCCATTAAACCTCTTTTATAAATTACCCAGTCTTGGGTATGTCTTTATTAGCAGCGTTAGAATGAACTAATACACTGATCCATGACGTTAAGGTCTGTGGGAGGAAGTCTCAACAACCATATGGAGATGGGGCCCAGTTCTGTCTCCATTCACTGTACTTCCTGGTCAGTAAGGAAACATTAGTTATTGTGGTTGTTGTGTAACTTTTGAGACATTAATAAAGCTTAGTTACTGTTATTGTTGTTGCTGTTGCTGCAACCATAATATTATATTATTATAGAAGCTTCAGGGAGTTACTGTTATTACTGTTATTATCATTGTCATTGTTGACATCGTTCTATTGGGCCTTCAAAGAGTCTACTCCTTGAAGAGTGATGCAAAATTCTATGCCTTTTTTTGAAGAAAAGGTCCACAACTTTTATCAAATTTTTCAAGAAACCTCCTAAGAGATAACCTTTGATTTAGAGGGTAGTTTGAGTCCATGAGAATCAGTAAGATTGAATAGAGAAAAACAGCCAAGCGCATGGCTCATGCCTGAAATCCCAGTCCTTTGGGAGGCTGAAGTGGGAGGATTGCTTGAGCCCAGGGGTTCAAGACCAACCTGGGCAACTCAGGGAGATTCATCTTAAAAAGACTCATCTCTACAAATAATAAGTCGTAAAAAATTGTTAAGCTGGGCACAGTGGCTGACACCTGTATTCCCAGCACTTTGGGAGGCTGAGGCAGGCGGATCACGAGGTCAGGAGATAGAGACCATCCTGGCTAACACGGTGAAACCCCATCTCCGCTAAAAATACACAAACGATTAGCCAGGCGTGGTGGTGAGTGCCTGTAGTCCCAGCTACTCAGGAGGCTGAGGCAGGAGAATGGTGTGAACCCGGAAGTTCAAAGTTGCAGTGAGCCGCGATCGCACCACTGCACTCCAGCCTGGGCGACAGAGCGAGGCTCCATCTCAAGGAAAAAAACAAAACAAAACACAACAACTGTCAGTCACGTGTGGGGTGGCTAACTCTGATCCTGGCTACTTGGGAGACTAAGGCAGGAGACTCTCCTGCACCTGGGCCTTCAATGCTGTAGTGAGCCATGATTGTGCCCCTGCATTCCAGCCTGGGTGTCAAAGGGAGACTCGGTCTCTCACACACACACACACACAGAAAAGAGAGAGAACAGTTCTGTGTGCGGATTGCTAAGACAGCAGAGTCGAGTTCACAGCCTGGAAGCAGCAACATACAATGATGAACAAGGAGAGGTGGTGGTGTGGATGGCAGAGAGAGGCATGTTCATAAAAGGAGAAAACTGCCAGTAGTAGAGGGCTGTCTAGAGAAACAGGCAAGGATGAAAGCAGACCATGCTCAAGGCATTTCAGGAGGATGGTGAAGTCAGGAGGCATCCCAGGATGACCCAGGCACTGTAGGGAGTGACTGAGAAGAAAGACAGTCCCAACAGAAGATGCCAACATCTCTTTCAACAGTGAGAGGGTTGGAGGAGACTCTGCAGCTAAAAGAGGGAGGTGGGACGGTGGGGAGGGGGAATAGTTTTCAGATGATGGAAATAAATACAACAGTGGACCATAATGTTCACAAAGGACATAACATCTCTTCATCTCTGCTTTAAATATGGAAAATGAGTCTCAAGGAGGTAAAAAAAAAAATGTTCAGTTTCACTTAACCCATTGGTATGGTTTGGCTGTGTCCCCACCCAAATCTCATATTGAACTGCAGCTCTCATAATTCCCATGTGTTGTGTGGGAGGGACGTAGTGGGAGATAACTGAATCATGGAGACAGTTTCTCCCATCCTGTTTTCGTGATAGTGAATAAATCTCACGAGATCTCATTGTTTTATAAGTGGTTTCCCCTTTGCTTCACACTCACTTCTCTCTTCCCTGCCACCATGTAAGACATACCTTCCACCTTCTGCCATGATTGAGACCTCTGTAGCCAAGTGGAACTGTGAACCCATTAAACCTCTTTTTCTTTATAAATTATGCAATCTCAGGTATGTCTTTATTAGAAGCATGAAAATGGACTCATATGCCCAAACTGGCTTCAGTCTGTCTCTCTTTGGAGCAACCTGTCCATGGCATATTTCTTAATAGTGTTTGTAGTCACAAATATCCATCTTTCCATGGCTACCAAACTAGATCGAATTCTTCCATAGGGTTCCTTGCCACCGTTTCATTACAGCCCTTTCTCAAGATCACTTTTCAGGGTGCAAGGACCCCAGGAAGGGGTAATTGCAATCGGAGTTTGTGGATGGATCTGGCCTCAGATGTCTCCCTCTAACTTAAGGCAGGAAGCTGAAGGCATTGGGCACCTGGGGTAAAGCAGAGGAAGGGCCCAGAAAGTGGACAAGACAGACAGCCACCGAAGATGCAGTGCCACTGGAATATTACCTCGATGGGACTTGCAGTAATGACACCCACGTTTTGGTTCCTTCTTTTGTCCTTTGATGCCTTGGTGAGGTTGGGTCAGTGCAATGGTAGCAGCCTTCTCCAGAGGTCAGGGGATCTGCCAGGATGGGAACAGAGAGTGAGTACTAGGCCCAGGCAAAGCCATACAGTGGGCTGGGCTGTGACCTGCATGTCCATCTGTGGCTCACCTAGGGACAGCAGCTATGGTTCATGCGCAAACGGGAATATTGCAGTCCTCACATCTTGCAGAAATCCATCCTCTGCTTGTTCTCCATGCTGATTCAGGCTAGAAGAGCTTGGTCACCAAGACATGGGAAGATCGTGCAAGAGCGTGAAACAGAAGGACCACAAGGCTACAAGCAAAAACAAAGCCAAAATTCGACCACAGCAGAAAATCAACTGCTAAACTCTAAGAAAGGCTAGATCCCAATGTGTGCTTATTGTCTCTGGAAGAATATATCTCTTCCCTGCTTGAGAACGCCCTGGCTCCCTGACCCTCTCCTACAATTAACTTTACTGCAGAGGCAATGGAGTGAGGGAAGAAGGGATGGTAGAGACACAGAGGCAAGACTGTAAACTGAGTAAATCCCTGATGCCACAGAGACAAGGTGGAAAGGGTGGCACCGTGATGGCAAGGTGACTTAGCAAGCCCAGAAGGCAACAGGCTGGCTTCATCCAGCAACAATCAAACTGGTATCTGCCACAAAAATGTAGGAAGGAAAATCGGGACTTGATCCGAATAAATCTATCAAATATCAAGTTTGGCATGAATAAAAATGCACCTAGTGTATCATTGACTTTTGTATATCTGAACTCCAAACCTAACCAGCTGGAATACCCTATTTTAAGTAGCATCCCATTCGACCTTCCAAAAGCAAGGCAAGTTTTAGCAGGTTGGAAGTCAGTGCCTTAAACAGTATCTTCTTCTCTGGATGCAAATGAGAGAAGTACTGATCTGCTCCACGGAAGAAAAAAAATCAGAACTAAGCCCCAAAAGTCAGACTCACAAAAAAATCAGTGTGATGGTTTCACTATCTAAAGGGTTATTGGCAAGTTAGTGGTCCATGTCCTGTGACCACATTGGCTCTGCTTTATAAAGAATGTGTCAGTCCTACTGTCTTCACAGCTAGGAAGTACCGGGTGGTTATAGCCCATCAGAGCGCACGTGAGCTTGGGCAGTGGACTTGATTTCTGTCCAGGTTTTAAAGCTCATAATGAATGATGGTTGCCAATATGGGCTCAGACAGACCTGAGTCAGATTTCTACTCTGGGGCTTGGAAGCTGTCAGGAACTTGCTCAGTCCTCTCCCCTCCCACCATAGGCCTGTGACTCTGCCCCGGCTTGAAGGACTTTGTTACAGGCAGATGAGATAACAGCTGCAGACCTCTTGGCTCCGTGTCTCTTCCCTCGTAGTTGCTCAGTAGCTAAGTAGATACCGGTTCTATTTTCCTCTAAATTTTCCTTACAATTTAATCATTGGCACGGGTCTCTCCAAAGAGCAATTTATGTTAAAGAATAATTTTAAGTCATTCAATTTGATTTTAATAGTCATAGCTAGGCTGTGTCTAGGTTGTGATTTTCAAAGAAAACCAAACAGAAACACACCATTTAAAATGAGTTAAGATGAAATGAGCCAATGAGTTAAGTTGGATACATTTTGTATGTCATAGAAATGGTGGGCAGGAACCAAGCTGAGGTAGGTTAGGGATGAGGTTAGAGACTAGAAAAGAAAGGAGAGTGAAGGCTTAAGGAAATAAGACCATCTCCCTGCTGTGCCCTGGGCCATCTTCCTCTGCCCATCAGTCCTGCTTGGGCCAGGTGGGCAGGATGAGGGTCCTTCACTCGTCCGTGGAGTCACTGCAGTCCCTCCAGCTGAGCTCTTCTACCCCACCCAGCTTCTCCTAAAACTACCACTTGAGACAAAAGGAAAACATGATTTTCATCCAGATGAATGTGGTGTGTGTGTTTTTTTAACTGTTGCTGAATGTCACATCAGAAATTAGAAGCCCTAAAAATTAATTTTAACCAAACATACTCACTTCATTCTTTCTCGCTGCATTCATCTTTTCTGTCTCATTCTGCTCTCACTTCCTGAACAGGAGGAGAAATGTGAGATCCTTCAGTTTTAAAAAGTAAAAAGCCACGGACAGAAGCATGCCCTTCTCCTTTGGTTCTTAGCATTCTGGAACGCACCTGTGTTAAAATATGAAGAAATAAAACAAATATAAATTATGCATTTTCCAACTTAATTTAAAATGCATTATGCTCTGCTTTGTTCTCTGGAATTAGTCTTATTAAGGGGACAGATCTGTATGGATTAATTTTGAGTCAGTTTATTCACTTCTTTGTAATTCAGTGGCAAGGATTTTTGTCCCCAGGCATCAAATTAATTTTTTTTTTTTTTTTTTTACTGTAAGTAACACATACAAAATATAGACCTCTTTGTGTTATTTCTTTGTTTACCTGGCATGCAACATATTCTCATATTATGCTTCCACCAATTCTTAAATCTTCTCCCTTTAAAGAATAAAACTTTACCCATGATTTTTAAAGCAATGTACCCTTTGTCACAATATTGGAGTTGAACACAATAATAGCATTATTCTCTGGTTGTATTCATTTCTATTAGAGATCTTCATGGCCTCCCTCCAACCCAAACTCAAGGAGACCAGCCCCCAAGCCCCTGCCTCCTCAATAATTTTGTCAACATGTGAACTGATATTTTACGGCTATTTAAAATAGGTACCAAATCATCATTCTTAAGTATTGTTTTAGTACAGTAATTCTTTGTTCCGCTTCGACATTTTAAATCTTTATATTTCCCCCCCACACACACACGGAGCAAGAAAATCGTCTGCATTCTTAATTAGTCTTCTTTAAACAAAATATCCTTTCATATGCACTAATAAAGACTAAGGAGCCTTCCCCTCTTGTTTAAATAACTGCTTGCTGTAGTATAAAATTGTAAGAGACACGATGCAGATCAAGTTGCGGGCTTGAAGTGGGGAAGAGGAACAAGCCGTGCCATAATAAGCAGATTTTAATGATTTACTATAAATCAGCATTTTTGCCCTGTCAGTGAGATTGAAGAGGCAGACAGCTCCTCACATGTCTGCCGAGCAAATGCCTTCCTGATGAATCATGTGCACTGAATCACTGATCACAACATTCAAACGGCACATCCAAATAATGAGGGAAACATATACACAGGCTCCCGATGGCGGCTCCAAGGCAGCAGGAATGTATGTTTTCCGTTGTGTGGTCGTTAAACCCCTCGCATTGATCCTCCGAGGACTGCATGGAGGGTAATAGAAGTGTATATTACCCGGTTAACCGCTGATGCCCGAAACACAGGCTGATCTCCATAAATGCTCTCCCCAACCCCCTAGACTTTTGATGAGAATCTAATCTGGTCTTAGCAGAAAGCAGAAAAAATAAAAATAAAAGACAGGCTGTAATAATGAACCTGAATGGAAAGAATCTGGCTGCAAAACCCAGTAGAAATCGGAGCTAATTTCTGGGGGCTGGTCTTCCGATGTTCCCCGCCCAAGCCTCTGCCCCTGCTGTTTGCTTCCTCTGCTAGTGCCTAATATTCCCCAGCAGTAGCGCGTCCAGTGGGCAGGATCGCCCCTGGGAAGAGGAGTGCCATGCTTCCTGTTGGAAGGACGCATTTAGAAACTGAGTATGTCGGAGCCCCTGACAGGACAGTGGTCCGGAGAGCCAGGCCCCTGGAGCAGACCCTGAGGCCATCCCTGACCTGGACTTGGAGATGTTCAGGAAGCCTTTCCAGCAGACCAGAAGCTTCCCCTGATGGCAGCCTTCAGGGCCTCACTCCTCTCGACAGCCGCAGCCCAACATCAGCATCTCTCTCTGGTGCCGCTTGCTTCTTACTGTCTTTGTAACACTCATCCTCATGGACTGTGGCTTCCTCAGTTGCAAAATCATTGTTCTAACTTTTTTGGAAGCCCTTAAAATAACTTGCACATAGTACAGGTTTTGTCATCATCCACCCACCTCCATGAGTAATGAATGAATGAATGACAACCACAGAGGCCGAGTATTGGCCAGCCACACTCAGCCGGCTCTCTAGGATACCTCACTCAGAGAAAACGAGGACATCCTTGAGACTAAGATAATCAGTTTCTCTTTGCCAGATCCTAACCCCACTCCCTCTGTCATCCAAAGCCCTGCTTTGGGGCCAGCTGGGAATCTACCAACCCTGGTCCCACCTGTGGAATTACCTGACTGCCCAGCTGCTGTGGGGAAGATCTCCAAGGGAAGTCCCAGTTTAAGCTGTAGAGGAAAAGAGGACGGCCTCCAACACCTGGGCATTTCCCACTGCATTCCCGTATATACCCCACATTCCATCCCAGCGGTGCTCCTGGAACAGAGATGGGGTCCCATGGTTACATTTGCTGTGTCTGGCTGCAATGCCCACTTCTCCCCTATTTAAATCTACGTATTGTTAAAAACAGAGCTCCCCTTCCTCCCTGAAGCCCTGTCTCATCTTGTGCAATGGAAGCAATCTCTCCCTTCTCTAAGCCCAATTATGCTTCAGATATTTCCTTTGTTCATTCATTCATTCATTCAGTCAGCCTGCCTCACACCAGGAGATGCCCGGTCTCTTCTAGTAATGGTGAAAATAAGAGTGTCACCCTATGGGGTGGCAGAGGCTGCACCGTCCATTCTTCAGTGCGCATTGAGCATTCACTGTCTGCTAGGCACTGTTCTGGGCACGGTAGTGACCTAGTTGGGGCTGGACAGGCCCTTTTCAGGAGGCCACCAATCTGTGCTAGCTGTGTCTTCAATCAGAATCCTGCACTTAAAAGGGCCTCTCCTTGGTTTAATGTTCTAATGTCACCATCACATTCGTAACATTCGTGAAATTCGTAACAGTTTTCGAACCAGAGGGCCTGCATTTTCATTTTGTGAAATACTATAGCAGTCCTGGCTTCTATTTTGAAGGACTTGAATTTGGGGTGGGGGGTGGGAGGGAGATGAAAATAAACAAGTAAATGAATGAACAAGACATGTCAGATGGCTCTGTGTGATGGGACGGAGAGTTGAAGGAGGGCTACTTCACATGGGGAAATTAAGGCAGGCTGGTGAGAGGAGGACTTCTGAGTGGAACTGCGTGTGATGGGGGAATACAACCATAACCAGCATAAGATGAACCAGTTAACCTCATGAATGAAATGAGCCGATTAATCCTATGGGTTGCCTCAGTGATGGCTCAACCTTTCATTCTGTTCTGGATGCTTGGACTGGTGGGTACCTTCCTTCTCCCACCCTAGAGGGAAATTGTTGGGATGTATAGTCCCCTGTGGCCTTCTCTCCTAGCCAGAGACAGACAGACCATTAATGCCACCAGGAACAAGGAGCAACACCCTGGTGTGTGCACTCTGGAACCCTCCAGAACCTCCTGGAACCTTCTGGAACAGAAACCTCACCTTCCTCCTCCTCCCCTGGCAGCCTCAGCCCCTAGGCCCCCTGGGTCTTCTCAGTTCCTCTGTCCACCTGACTTTGCTCACGAATCTTCCATAGGAGATGCCGAGTCCTACAGACAGCCTTGAGAGACTCATGCCCAGGAGGTACTCTGTCTCTGGGTCTAAGGTTTAGGAAAATGGTGCAGACCAGCCAGTGCTTGTGAATTTCCTCTTCTCCTTGGGTCTCCAGCCGCAGGCCCCGCTGTGGTGTCTCAGAGCGCCCTGATGGGTTTGCATTACAACCTTTAACAGTAGCCTTCCTTGGTCAGGTAAGTTAGGTGTGAATTCTTTTACACAGGACTCATGCTTCCTTTAGGCCTCTGGGGAGGACGGGAGTGTGGGAACTGGGGCCAGAGCTGTGCCCTCCCACAATGGCCTCTCCCTGCCCTGTTCAGGGACCTCTCCCGCCATAGGTGAGCTGTCTCCTGGAGAAGACAGAGAACCAAACAACCCATCATCCCACCCGGTGAGGAGGACTTGAGAAGACAGATTAGTGTGGCACCAAGCACAGTGGCTGGCACAGGAGACCCTTGTCACCTCCTCCAGGCTGTCTGCCTTCAATAACAGGCTCCATCGTGGTGCTTGGGTACTCCCGCAGCAGTCACTGATTCTCTGCTGTGGCACACTCCTGATGAAATTCAACAGTTGGGACAAATAGGCTAGAAAGAAAGCTTTCTGGGGGCAGAGACCTTCGGTGCCACAATGCTTACCTGGACCTGATACTCAGTAGGTGTGCAGGGGAAGGTATGCGGAAGGGAAGGAAGGGGATGATGTGGTACGCACAGCGGCAGCGCACAGGCTGTATGTGGGCAGCGCCCAGGAAGGAGGTGCGTCAACACAACAAGGGCTGACACCGAGTGCTGTGCAGTTGAAAGCCACAATGTAATTATCCACCCAGGAAAAGAGGGTCCCCTCCCATGGGACTGCCATCCACATGAAGAGAAGGAAAATAAACTCATTCGAGGTCAATTTAAAGGTTAAATGGAGGTCAACCGGGGAGGGGGGAACTGAGACCATCCCTGTCGATGGGAGCAGTCTTGGCCACTCACTTAGGACTTTAACCTTTGGCTTTAACATTCATCTGAAAAAAAAAAAAATTGTGAAGCAGATAATTGGGTATTAGTAGACATACCATTTTAGCCATCTTAGAAAATAAAAAATAAGAGTGATCGTGGATCCAGTGGCAGTTACTTTAGAAAGATAGTAATGTGTAATTCCCAGTTTCTCAGACTGTAACTTCTGCACTTACCGCTAATTTCTCCACTGCTCCAATTGCAGTGTATACATTTAGTTTAGAATTTATCATCACCGTTTGTGTATATTACACCAGCAGCATAATCCATCCTCATGAAGCTAATGCTCAGCATTAGGAAAATGGACTCCGTATGGAGCCTGCCAGACTCTGGCCTCAACACAGACCGAGTTGCCGGTTCCTGGGCCCCCACTCCCCCCACCCCAGAGTATATGTGGCATTATGTTTTGTGCACTCTCTCCAAATGGCACGGTCTGATTTCTGCAAGTTGCTGGTGTCCATTGTCTGTGGATGTAAAAATCAATGACCTACATAAGATTTTGATTTTGCACGGGGAATTGAGAGAGAGAGATGGAAAGAAACACTGAGAGAGTGAGAGAGAGAGAAATGAGATGAGATGCAAATGGAAAATAATGAAACAGTCATGTTAAGAAATATATTAGCATGTTGGACTCAAAAAATATATTTCCAAGAAGATATCCTTTTTTTTTTTCTTCCAACAGGAACATATTTAATTTCATGGTCATTTGATTAAAACAGTTAATTGTATTAATGTGTTATTGAGCTGAAAGTGCTGGTCATTCCGGGGTGGACGCTCACTCGGGCGCAGAGAACAAAACCTCGTAATTCCAGGGCTCTTTGGGAGCCGGTGGAACTAGGACCTGCTATTGAAACCTCTCAGTGGATATTCAATCCTTGTTTTTATTTTCTTAAAAGAGAGAAAGAGAGGGGAAAAAAAAGCCTCAAACTGCTGATTTCTGCAGAAAAATCTGCAAATGAACTGTTCTATTAGCACAAACATACCGAAGTCTTTAGAACCCCTCTCTTCAAAAGCATAATTAGGTATTTATTTCAGACATACTAACATCTTTGCAGTAGCTAATAAGATGCAGCCCATTTGAATATTAATATAATAAATGATTAAATTAAACAGCAAGATTCAGACTCAGAAATAGCCTTTATAGGTCCCAGGGGGTCACTAAAACTGTTTCCATTTCTTCCTACAGTTAACATAGTGCAAGGGACAGGAATGCATAGAGCAATATTTGTCTTATGAAACGCGGAGTTTTATATGGTGCTATTCAGTTTTATTACTCCACAGTTTGAATCTGGGGCCCAGAGTGAAGTCACCATGCTGTGGTCTGACAGCCCCTCTTCCTGTCTCACGGCTTGCTGGCGTTCCAGAGATGCTCCACTGCTTGGCGAAGAGTCCTCTCTGATATCTCCATACCAATAGGTACTCATGCAGCTGGGCACAAGGTAAACTCGTAATACGGTTAAAGGGAACAAAGGCAAAATCCAAAAATCAACGGACTCTGCATACCAAACTGCCCAGGGTTTATTTTGTGTGTCCACATGGGTGTGTTTCTCAACTCCACTGAGCGCAGCGTGTGTGTGGTGGGGGTGGGGGTGAGTAGGGGGCCTGGCTGAAAGGCCACACCCAAAACTGGGGTGTGGGCTGAAGCCAGATGCACCAGGATGTGGGCAGGCTTTTCATCTCTCAACTAGGAGGGACCCTCACCCGCCCACTTGATGTGCACAAAAAAGAATAGGCAAAGTCCGCAATCATAATTGTTCCAATAAAGGTGTTTCCCTTTTTAAATGAGTTCATGAAAACTGCACAGTCTCCAAATCCCATGAACCTGAGATGTGTTAATAAACATCTGGCCATGGTTTTTGCTTAATTAGCATTCTCTAGTTTGGACAGAAGTCTGTTTATGTGAAACAAAACACACACACTTGCGCGCGCACACACACACACACATTCTGTTTTGTAAGCCACAGCCCCTCAGAAATCCAAAACGAGCCTCCCCTAATGGCCGGAGAGAGATTTGGGTCTTTCCATACTCCTATTTGTCAACTGAGCAGCAGAAAAGAAAAGATACTTGGATCTGCATGTCTAATTTTATTATGCAAGTCTCAGATCCAATATCTAATAACTTGATATAGTCATGCTGTTTCAAAATATTCACATTTTTGGAATAGAAGATATTGAAGCTTGCAGGTCAGCTTGCATTAAATAGAAAACAACACAAACCAACCTCAAGCATGTCCACAGTCCACATTATTATTATCCACAGCCAAAAATCTCCCAGCCCCATCTCTCTAAGGAGCAGCGTCGGCAGGGAGGTAATGGGTAAACCGTAACCCGGCTTGCAAGGCTTTACTGTCTAAATTAGATAAAAGAAAAGTAGGAAGAAAACTCAAAGATAAGTGGTACAAAGTAAATCAAAACAAATCATCTTACCAAACTTTATTCACATCTGATACCATTTTTAGAAATTAAGGTCAGTTTTGTGGAACTAATAGGAAGTTATACCTATATATCTTGGACACCATGACAATGCCGGGGTGGAAGATTTATACACCATGGTTGCAGATGCAGAAGAAAGATATGAGA